CAGCTGCAGGACTGGGTGAGGGGCTGGGTGGGGGTGAGGGGTGGGGGGGTGGGAAGGAGGCAGATGAGCGGAGGGATCAAAGCCCCTTGATCCCATTTGCCGGTTACTGATATAATAACATCTTCCTCTCCCAGCATCTGACATGTGGCCTCCATAGATTATTCACTCTGAAAATTGGAAGTTAGAACAGGTCAACTTAATCCCAGAGCGACCAGCTGCTCCTCTGCCCGCTTATGGGGTGGGGGCTGTGCAGGGCATTTCCCCCCCCCCCCCGAAAGAGGCTGATTTGTGCTGGCCGTCTTCCTACCTGCACTTTGGGGGTGCAGCTCTTTACAGGATCCCACCTGTGGATGAAGCCACGGGGCCTCCTGTTCCACCCAGCCCTTCCCAGCCAAGCCACAGCCACGTCGTTGGTGGATTCGAGGCAATGTGGATGTGTGGCCACTGATAAATGACCCCCCAGCTCAGCCTTGCTGGATCTCAGCCGATGTGGATCAGCCCTTTGGCCCAGCGCCAGAGCTGGGGCTGATCTTCTAATGGGAAGCTGGGTGCAGAATCTCATTTGGAAGAGGAGGCCCGTCACCCACAGAAGAAGCAGCAAGGGAAGCTGGGACACCCAAGGAGGGGATGATGGGCCCATCTCCCCTGGACCTGCCTCGGGCAGCTGGGCTGAACTCATGGCCAGCTCTCCAGGCCCCAAAGGCCTTTCCTGCTAGTCCAACATCCCAGGTCTTCAGATGAGCCTCTTCTCTTCCTCACATGGCACAGCTGTCCAGATGGCGCACACCCTCTAACCCCAGATGTTGCCCAATGGAGTTTGAGCAGCCCAATGGGTGGGGAGGGGGCTCGGTGCTCTTGGTCTCCAAAGGTACTTTAGCTCCAGCCAAGAGGACTCTGCTTGCAGTCAGGACCTCAAGGAGAACATCTAGTGTGCATTCAGGCGCCAATGTGTGGCTAAACTAAACTAGGACCTCTGACGCAACCCTTACTTATTACAAGGAAGGAAGGAAGGAAGGAAGGAAGGAGGGAGAAAGGGAGGGGGAGGGAAGGAAGGAAGGAGGGAGGGGGAAAGAAGGAGAAGGAAGGAGAGAAGAATGGATGGAAGGAAGGAGGGAAGAAAAGAAGGAGGGAAGAAAGAAAGAAGGGAAGGAAGGAAGGAGGGATAGATGGAAGGAAGGAAGAAAAAAGGGAAGAAAGAAGGAAGGAAAGAGGGAGGGGAGGGAAGAAAGACAGGAAGGGAGGGAGGGAGGAAGGGAGGATGGAAGACATCTAGGAAGGAAAGAAGGGGGAAAGAAGGAGAAGGAAGGAGAGAAGAATGGATGGAAGGAAGGAAGGAGGGAGGAAAAGAAGGAGGGAAGAAAGAAAGAAGGGAAGGAAGGAGGGAAGGAAGGATAGATGGGAGGAAGGAAGAAAAAAAGGAAAGAAGGAAGGAAGGAAAGAAGGAAGGGAGGGAGGGAGGAAGACAGAGAGGAAGGAAGGAAGGAAAGAAGGAGGGAAGGAAGGATAGAGGGAAGGAAGAAAGGAAGGAAGGAAGAAAGAAAGGAAAATTCTTGATTTTCTCCTTCAGTGTCCATAGCTCCAGGGAATTGATCCACCCTGGTCCTTCCTTAAGACCCCCCCATCCAACTCGGCCCCTCAGGGAACCTTGANCGAGGTGCACAAGCCACATTTAACAAGGCTCTGAGGAACCCAAGAGTTGTCTGAAGGGAGACTCTGATCTACAAAAGGCCTTTCCCCCACAATATGTTTAAACACTGAACTCAAAACAGCCCACGATCCTTGGGAATGCCTTGGCACAACACACCCAACCTTGGGTTGGCACACGCCAAGTATCCAGGTTAGGTGTATTTCATCTCCTGCAAGCTCAGAAAATGGGCTTGTTCAGTAACCAGGTTGAGAAAGTTCTCCAATTGTGACTGCCCAACATTTCTCCCTTCAATGACCGTGTTGTCTTCTCCGGCTGAGTTCAATGGTGAAAGAAAAGCCAGAAGATTTAGATCTGGGGGGGATGGGAAGAGGCCCTGGGATATGCGTGTGGCCAGAGCCGACGAGGGAAGCCAATTAAAATTATGAACATATGTTGGAAGAACTAAAAAGAGACATTTGTTCTCTCTTTTCTAATTTGGGAGAACGGCGTCAGCTGGTTTTCCTTGGTGGCACTTTCAGGGCAGAGCAAAGGAAGACACACAAGACAGTCATCCCTAGAGAATTTCTCCCCAAGGCTGGTGGGGACGGCTGTGGCTTCATTTCTGGTGGGAAGATGCATCTCCAGCTGGGCTTCAAAAGACCTTCTCCAAGGGATCTCCAGATTTGGTCCACAATTCTCCTGGATCCAGAGTCCTTCTGGTCAGGAGGAGAATACCCATTTTGAGTCACCCATGGCTCTTTTCCCAAAAGAATGAGAGAGAATTCACACAGATCACAACCTTCGATGACCAAGATGGAAGCCAAGCGAGGCCCCCAGGTTCTAACAGAAGCTCCCCCAAATCTCTCCGGCTGGAGGGGGCTGCCAGAGGCCACAGATACCCCTCATCTGAAGATACAAGGAATGTTAAAAGCAAACAAGCTTCGCATCCACTTCCTTTTGCCCCAACAGAGAAGGTGGCCTTCTCAGGAGCAGCTGCAGGGCCCCCAGGGTGGGCCTGGCCATTGCATGCTGGTTGGGAATGGTACCAGTTGAAGTCTCCCCATTGAAGGGAGGGCCCTGGGAGACGGGCCCCAGAGGCTTCCTCCTGCTGCAGTGCAGTTATCCTTGGAGAGGCCCACTGCCTTCTCCTCCTCCCTTCCACCACAACCCTCAAGCTGCGTTTGTGATTCTGGCAGTTAGAGGGAGGGAGGGAGGGAGAAAGGGAGGGAGAGAGAGAGAGGAAGGAAGGAAGGAAGGAAGGAAAGAAAAAGAAGAAAGAAAAGGAAGGAAGGAAGGAAAGGAGGGAGGGAGAGAGAGGAAGGAAGGAAGGAAAGAAAAAGAAGAAAGAAAGAAAAGGAAGNCTCTCTCTTACTCTCTTTCTGTCTCTCTCTCTCCCCCTCTCTCTTTCTCTCTCTCTCTTTCTCTCTCTTACTCTCTTTCTGTCTCTCTCTCCCTCCCCCTCTCCCTTTCTCTCTCTCTCTTTCTCTCTCTTACTCTCTTTCTGTCTCTCTCCCTCTCCCCCTCTCCCTTTCTCTCTCTCTCTCTCTCTCTTGCAAAGTCTGCTACCCAGCCTCTGTGGAAACCCCAGATTCCTCAGACAAGGGAGAGAAAAGAAGAGAAGCACAACTGAGCAAAGACAATGTCTCTATTGTGGCTAGAGTTCCCGGCCAAGGAGGAGGAGGAGGAGGGGTTGGAAAGTTACTGCAAGGATGGAGAAACACCTGCCAATCTCCCAGTGCTGGCACCCCCCCACACCCTAATCAGCTGAAGGATGGCATTCATTCTCTCCCCCCCTTCCTCTGGCCCAGGCTGGCATTCCTGCATATTCAGCCTCTTCAAACGTGGGCAGGGAGCACATCTCGCTCTGAGAGAAAGCTCGGCTTTTCGGAAGGGATGGGCGGCATCCCGAGAGGAACCCGCAGAGCCTGAGAAAAGTTACGAGTTCAGGAAAAGTCCGGGAAGACGAGCCAAGAAAAGATGATTTGAGAACCCAGAAGGGAGCGAGGGCCCCCTTCACGATTGCTCCTGGCGACAAAGGTCGAAAGGGAGTTGGGGGGGGAGAATGTCCTAAGATTGTTGGCTTGTGATTCCCCTGGTTTCCTTGAGGTCCCCCCCCCCTATGTCTAACTTTCCTTCCTATGTGAAATTGCAACCAGTAGAAGCTGTTAAGATGGGGTTGCAAAGAGAAGCCCAACATCTGGTGATAAATGAAGTTCCCCTCTGAACAGCTGGCTGGGGCTACAGACCGGGTCATCCCAGGAGGG